GGATATATCATATCGTGACCCCTCTGTTATGATATGTATCGTATCGCCAAATTCTTGCCAATACACAGCCCTAGACAAATAGTTTTCATAAATACTATAGTGATTTTCCAATAAATTATAACTTCCTATTATAGCAGCACCTCCACCTTTACTATGCCATGTTAATATCTCTGTGCATTATGCTGGAACTGTGCCTGATAAAAAAAAAGGCTCCAACAAACCCATCCAAAAATGTAAATACATGTTGGCTCACATATCGAAGGCCAAGCTACAGGAGTAGGTATTCACCAACATTAACACTGTTCACAAAGGAAGATTATCTTTTCAAAGCAATTTGAATCTTTCTTTGCCACCGACAGAAACCAGTTATGCCAACATAACCTGCCTCACATTTCCAGTCTGACATCCTAACAGGAGTCCAGTCAGGAAACTCAGATCATAGCTGATGTTTTCAACCACTATTCCCACACAACAAAGTTATGATATGAACCAACAGAAACCAAAAACAGTGTGACAGAATCTGTATCAATGCACAACCATATTTCATCAGCCTCCTGCAAACTTGTTTGTTTGTTTTTTCTTCCACAAGCATCAGTTTCACTTTCAAATCTATCAAATTGATCTGTACCTGCTTGGTCTTTTCATAGGCTTCAATGCAATTAAACCAGGCCAACACTGGGCCTTTGTCATCTGTGGATCCTCTTCCATAGAGTTTACCTACAAAAGAGAAGAAAGTTTCACACACAGACCATCTTTGAATATATTACCAGGCTTTTGTTCATTTAATTGGTACGATTCCAGTAAATACAATGCATCTCATCTTGGCATAATCAACATATTAATGGCAGACTTTTGCAATCATGCTATTGTTTTATAAGACAGGAAGTTGTTCACAGAGCAGACTTAAAAGGCAGAACTGAACCCAGCTGAGCAATCAGGATTAGGAAGATGTGGTTGTGTCACTTCCTGTCAGGTGATCGTCACCATAAACCACTCAATATCACTTTGGTGTCAGCAGTAGTTGCTCCAAAAAATTGTTTAAATATTATTTAGATCAAATAATAAAACAGGTAACAGGGCAATCAGTGGAAATGCACCAATAAATCAGTAACTTGTGCAAATGCAATGATTCATATTAAACATGGTTAAAGCTCAAACAAACCAGGAAGTTTAGTTTTGCTGTAGCTAAAGTGAAGTAAACACCTCATATAATACATACTGTTATGCAGATTATTCGATTAAATGCATCACATAAGCAAAATTCTTAGTGGTTTGACCAGGTCTATGCAGTCTGTAGATTAGACAATTCAGCTCTAACCTGGGAAATGGTGACTGGGATGGACTTTGGAAATATGCAGCAAACGATATGAGAAGTATAAAGCTTGTAAAAGCTCAAAGGTCAAGCAAGTGTGGCAAGTGTGAGGAAAACAGTCATCTCATTCCTTACAGACYACATGCTGCTAATGTTACTGACTAGTTCAAGATATGCGTTTGTAATCTAATATGATTTTGCTTTTGATAAAACTGTCATACAGTCTCATCATTAAGACTTGTAGGTGTCTTATATCAGTGAGACGTGTTTGAAACCTCCAACAAAAAGGTAGYGAAAGCATTACAAATTCAACTTGTCTGGTTTTGATTTCTATTTCCAAACTATTCATGTGACTGCCAAAAGAGAACCGTTTCATTTTAAGCCGTCTAAATTTCCAGGTCGAGTTACTGCTGGTTGCTGCGTCAGAGCTGTTCCTGCTCTTACCATCTTTCTCCACCAGAGTGAAGGGCTCCGTGTCCCAGCCGTCCTCGATCTGAGCCGGCTGCACATCGAGGTGACCGTAAATACACACCGTCTTCTTGCTCGGATCTGACCCCAACTGTCCTAGAACGATGGGAGGGAGGGGGATCTCTTCTCCTGAAGGGAGCTGCATGAATGAAATTTTATCTTACTTATGATTCAGGTGGCATTAAGTTAAATAACCATAGAAAATACCTTTTTACCTTTTGCTTGCCAATATCCACCAGCTCCACCGTCCCCCCAAGTCGCTCAATGTCTTTGGCTGCCATCTCCATCATCTTTTTGATTTCTCCACGTTTCTCGGGCCAGGCAGACACACTCTGGACAGCRACCCATTCTGCAAGGCGCTGGAAGCAAAATAGTTTGACTCTTTCTCTGAACCAATACAAAAATTGTAAATGTTTAAACTAGTATTTAAGGTTTAACAATATTTCACTTTAACGACAGTTAACGTATCACTACAACTGAAATCATTAAATCTACTAGTTTTGCATTTATGACCAACACTTTTACTCTTTCCCACTCATTGAATGGGTTAAAACAGTAAGCCCAGTTGATCAACTTACATGAGATTTCAATCAAATTTAAAAACTAAAAAAGGTTTGATGACTACATTGGTATAACTGCAAACAGAAGTAAAACTGAAATGTCTTTCAGAATGATCATACCTTTACGTACAGGTCCTGGTTTTTGTCCACATACTGAAAAAGTGATTGAAGATCAGCCATTTTTGCCAACGACAGGAGCTGAGAGTAGAACAAGCAGAATGGTGTGAGTTTAACTCTAACCCAGTATTGTCTTATGACTGCTCCTTTTTAAAAAAGGAATAAAGAAAACCACACCCTCTTACAAGCCTGCTGACTGCTGCTGTATTTGTTGTACCTTTGTATTTGCCTGTCATGCACCACTGCACATTATAAAACAAGATGCTGATCTCACTGTATTTTCGCAGAAATGATTTGTCTTTATGCAACGAGTGAGATAATGTACTGAAGCTAAAAGGTCATGGAAAAGTTGCATCATATAAATTCAAACATTTCATGCACTATCAAGGGAGTGGAGCATTCAAGGAAAAAAATCAAGAGTACTGTGTTTTGTAAAAGTAAATAAACAYATTGTAAATGAAAATCAGATCTGACGTTTGTAGCTGTATGTGAAGTGTTTTTTTTTAATCAGAAAACGTATGAATGCTCAAATAAACATGTACCATAGGTCGGGAAAACAATCTTTAAATTAATATTTGTATATTTTCCTTACTTTTTGTACAACTTCTGCATAATACAGATAAATCCATTATCAAAAGAAAGCTAGTTTAAAGGTAATTTGTTAAATTACTTAGCAGCGTTGTATTTGAACCAAGCAGACCACCACAGTCAAATAAATTCAATTCAAAAGTAAATTAATTTWTGATTTTTTTTAATCAAATATAACAGAGACTTCCACCAGGCAGACATTTATGCTAACGGAACACAAAGTGAAAAGTTTACCCTATACCTTTAATATTCACTGAATGTCCGTAAACGCAGCATTGTGTGCTTTGTCTGTAGACTGTGGAGAGCGTTACGCGCACTGAGAACTAATAGCATGTTTGCTTTTAACCAACCTGTTCTAGTCAAATGGCCTTTCCACGTCCAGCTGATGTCCACATATGACTCCTTTAACGTGACAGGCACTCTTTTTTTCCTCACAGGCGTACACTTTTGGCGTAACATTCTTCTTTGTGGCCATTTTCGGGCGATTTCTGTTGTAGAAACKTAACAGCGCCCCCTGTGGTCACAATATGTAACACCGGTCTGACTGACTTTCTTTTCCCAGAAGGTTAAACCCTTCTATGTTTATCTCTACCGTCTCAAAAAATGAGTTGATACAATTGTTGCAATGATTAACATAGGCTGATGTACATAGTAGGGGTGATGGATCAGTTTTTAAAAAGGGATCCCTGATTAGTTGTAACATTAGACTTTATTTAATAAACATATTTTAACTGTAAAATAAAGACTAAAAATACTGTAGGCTGTTTAGTTCTGTCCATTTTTAATATATTTTAACACGGACGGAACCATTTTATTTACACACAAAGCATTCTGGGTAAATGATGACGTGGATAGGTTATCGGTGTGWGCGAGCTATATCCATCCTGAAGGTTAATCTTGGACAATATCTGACACTCTTAACACAATATTTTTAACTTAAAAGATTTTTTCAAACCCTCAGTCCCCTGCAAAAAAGAAGGGATTTTTACTTTTGTGACTATTGCTCCAAAGTGACATTTTGGTCACTAATATATAATAATAGTTTTATTTGAAAAGCGCCTTTCGGGACACCCAAGGACACTTACAGCAGTAGACCCATTATAGAAGAATATGTGAAAATACAGTTAGGAGACAAGCAGGCATAAGTTACATAGAATTGATTACRAATGAAGTTAAGATGGATACACTAAAAGAGATGTGTTTTCAAAACAGTCTTGWACACAGSAAGAGRGGTGGTGTTTCTTAGGTCAGATGGCAGAGAGTTCCAGAGGAGAGGTGCAGAGCAGGTGAAGGCCCTGCTCCCCAGAGGCGGGCAGTGGGTACTTGGAGGTTTAGGGAAGAAGAGGATCTGAGAAAGTGGGAGGGGATGGAGATGTGTACAAGGTCGGACATGTAAGGAGGGGCAAGATGGTGGATAGTATGAACGTGAGAAGAAGAATTTTGAAGACRATGTGCGATTTGACCGGGAGCCAGTGAAGCTGCTGCAGGACTGGAGTGATGTGGTTATGGGWCGAGGTTTGGGTGATGACATGTGCAKCCGAGTTCTGCGCCATCTGAAGCTTAGGGAGGGATTTGTTGAGGAGGCCAAAAAKGAGAGAGTTGCAGCAGTCAATCCGTGAGGTCACAAGACTGTGGACAAGGATGGCTGTGGTGCAGGGTGTGAGAGAAGGACAGGGACGGTTGATATTTCTGAGGTGAAAGTACAGTAGGCAGACCGAGTAACATTATTGATGTGTGCAGTGAAGGAGMGAGTGGTGTCGAGGATGACACCAAGACTCTTGACTTGAGGGGAGGGGGTTAGCAGTGTTGTTGATAGGGATGAGGAGATTATTAGATTTTGAGATGGAATTTTTAGTGCCAACAAGGACGATTTCTGTTTTATCACTATTCAGTTGAAGGAAATTGTCTGAAAACCAGTGATTGAGTTCATTGAGACAGTCAGAGAGGGTGTGTAGAGTTTGGCTTGGTTGACAGGTAGAGCCGTGTGTCATCGGCATAACAATGGAAACGGACACCAAACTTGGCGGAAAATTAAACCAAGAGGAAGGAGGTAAGTAATGAAGAGAAGGGGTCCAAGGACAGAGCCTTGGGGCACGCCAGTGGAGACAGTGGATGACTGAAGGATTTTATCTGGATTAATTGAGCGTGGTCAGAAAGATAAGATTTGAACCAGTCAAACGCCATACCTGAGATGCCAATGGATGCGAGTCTGTTGAGGAGAATAGAATGAGAGATCGTATCAAAAGCAGCACTTAGGTCAAGGAGGATGGACAGGAGACCAGAGTTGGCAGCAAGGAGAAGATCGCTGGTGGTTTTTATGAGGGCGGTTTCGGTGCTGTGGTGGGGGCGAAAACCAGATTGAAACTCTTCATAAAAGGTTATTGTTGGAAAGGTGAGAGTGGAGTTGACTGGCAACAACTTTTTCTAGAATCTTGGAAATGAAGGGCAGGTTAGAGATTGGACGAAGATTACTGAAGTTACTTGGGTTAAGACCGGGTTTCTTGATGATGGCTGCAGATTTAAAAGCTGTGGGAACAGTACCAGAGGTCAAAGAGGAGTGGATAATGATGATAGGGAGCAGAGACGGGAGGCAGGATTTAACAAGAACAGTGGGAAATGGATCGAGCTGGCAGGATGAGAGTTTAGACTTGCTAATGATATCAGAGATGTCAGCAGCAGAGGGGAGGGAGAAGAGAGGGGTGTGTGTGTTGGGGGGGGGGGGGGGGTTCGACAAGTGAGCTGCGAGAGGTGGTTGGACCAAGGTGTTTGTGAATAGTCTGAATTTTTTTAATGCAATAAATCTTTTACTGTCTGGATAATCATGAATCCCCTCACTCCCACAAGATTATAATTATAGTATTTCCATTTCCTGGTAAATAAAGGCAAACAAAAAATAGTGAATGTATTTGTTAATGCATATGAGACACACACACACACATCTTCCTCTGAAAAGCCTCCTTCCTCCCCTTCTGTTTTTGCAATTTCTTAAGGATTCAATTTTAAACATATGCACAAAATGTTGTATAAAAAGTTGCATTTATTTTTGCAGTTCAATATTCATATCCAGTCGGTCTGTGCCTGAATCCCTWTGGTACCTAGAAGGGAAAAAATACATATATCAATTTATTTTCCTCTTCAGTTATAAAATGTTTGAAAATATTAAAACTCACATTTCCATCAAAGCATCGCTGTTCACAAGGCTTTTCTGATGGCACACAAACTTCTGTGGAGCACATGAAGTAAATCTGTAGACATAATTACTATTTAGAAAAATTTTACAGTATTTTACATTACAGCACACCTTTAAGTCTTAATGTATACATTTACTTTAAATACAGACCAGATATCACTCAAAAATCAAAACAGCCAGAAAGATTCCTCTTGTATAGTTTGACAAATGTTACCAAAGCATCAACAGCTGTTAAAAAAAAGAAACCTTGAAACATTTTAACTCACTTCTTCATTTAAGTACTTGTTTGTTTTTTGATCCATAAACTGGAAAGCTTCCACTTTAAAGCGCTTCTGATGAAGATTGTTAGGATGGTTGTCAACTTTAAGGACAGACACAGTGGGATCGTTGGAACTGGCACACCTGCAAACACAAAACATCAAGATTAAATCTGAACAGCAAAAAGAAATGGGGAAAAAATGATCTCCACACCCACGCTTACCCTTCATGAATTAACACCAAAGCATTCTTTGCATTGCGAGGGTAAGCCAAGCAGTAGTTGACGAGAATGACTGCATCTGGTTTAGACGACTTCAGGTTCAACTCAAGATGCACCGGATGGCCGAGGAGCAGCTGCAAGGGCTGATGGTACGTTGGATGGTAACTTGAATATGTGTGATCTGTTACACAAATGAAATGTGGTCATTTAAAATATTTTTGGAGAAATGAGTTCATGTTGTTTTATGCATCCAAAACAAATAAAACTGTTTCACTTAAAATAAAAGCATAAACGTTTGACCTTTAGCAATCTTCAGCTCTACATCATATAAGCCACTGGAGATGACCGATGACGGCAAGTTGGAAGTTGGGGTCTTGACCATGTAGCCTACACTGGCTATTGATGGTTCAGCATCAGCATAACCAGGGTTGCTGTAGCGACACTCAATCAAAAACCTGGAAGAGTTACAAGGCCAGACAGAACGTAAAGCTTGAGCTGAGCTAAACCATTGGGACATAAAGATTTTTAATCATGTTTTTGATGTCACACCAACCTGAGCGGATCACTCCTTGTTATTATTCCATACTTGAGGTTCAGAGCATTGACAACAGTGTGCACTTCAATCAGGTAGATCTTCATGCCACCAACATCCTGTCCAAGAAATAAAACACTAAGTCTGAGAGTGGCCAAAAACTGTAGCAATATTCATGAGGCCGACATTAAGTTTACAGATGATTGATGGAGGTTTGGTGCCAAAATCAGACCCAACTCCTAACGTGTGTCTGGGTTTACCCTATATTTTCCATGAATATTCTAAAAGTCTTTTTAGGAGTCCAACTTAGAGTTTATATTTTTCTTCATTTGCTAGAAATCCTCTGAAGAAACCATGAAAAGTTCAGAGAATACAAGTGAAGAATATGAGTGATGAGACAGAATAAGATAAGGGTGATACGGTTTTATCCACCATGCTACGTTTGCTCTCATTAAAGAAGGGATCAGTTTCACTGATCAATACTTATTTTATTCGCTCTTTTAATAATCAGACTCATAACCACCGAAATGTGTACTCGTAGAATTACAGGGAATTCTTTTYACCACAATCGATKTATAYTCACTCAAYGAGGAGGAATTTTTATTACAAAAATATGACCCATCACATCAAACCAAGGATTAAGTCACAAGGTCTGACGAAAAATAGGCAGGCATAGTTCGCTGATTAAACATTTATAATAATTGCATTTTGTTTAAATACAATGAGTTAATACCTTATACCTTAACGGATGAACCGTCTGAAATTTAAAAAGAAAAATTCTTCTTTCCAGCTAGGAAATCTCAATATCTAAAAACTATTTATACTGATGTCCAAAATTCCTCYTAAAAATAGGMTTCAGACCAAATATCAATGAGTTATACTGATTAAGGAGACTAATCAAGGCATATCTTTAGAACCACCTATRTCAGGATGATCCAGGTATCATAAYGTAGTTCTAAAATAAACTACATTTGATGAGATGGGTAACAAATAGAGTATCAAAATCATTAGAATAATGAATAAAAAGAGCAAAAATCAAGAATGTAAAAATAATGAAAAGAATTCAGGGAGAAAAGGGAAGAACTACATGAGTTGATGTAACAATACAAAAAAATAAAGATTAATCATGTATTAATTATTATTTATCATAAAAATAACTCTTTTAGATAGAATTGTTTATGTTACATATGCACAATGAATTTAGACAGTTTAACAATTATGTAGTAGTTTATTATGGAATTTGGAGAGATATTTTATTTTAAATTTGATCAGATTCTCAGGTTTACATTACTGCATCTGAGGAACTTATTTTATCAAGTTTGCATCAGCTTAAAAWTGTTTAACCAGACCTGATACTGCTTAATATCATCTCCCAGGAGATGCCTTGTTGTACTACAGCCGGACAAAGGAGGCCTTACCCTGTGAGTTTGGCATGCAGATTTCTACCTGTTCAGTGCGCTGAAGGACGGCTTGTGGACCCTGGTCTACAACCAAGGGTCAGCTGTCCGAAGGTCACACCAAGGGTGGAAGTTGCTGATGAGGAGGAAAGGGCTGTGTTCGTTTACGCCTATAATATAGGTCCATTCCCTTTAATTCTTGTCTAAAACTTTTACACACAAACACCTCTAAGAGGAGCTTTGTCTGAAAAACTATGCCAAGATACTRCACTGATTTTATATAATACTTCTTATCATTGTCAAATATTTAATGCATAAATAAAAAACGTAATATAATTTTTTTAAGATAAAAAATATGCGTAAAATTTTGTCACCGTGCAGCTGATTTAAATGTTGAAGGACAGTGAATCTTAAACATTCATGTCAGAGGTCACTTTAAAGAAATTTGTTCACTTCTGTTAAAGAGGTTTTCAGGGTCCGAGGTCATGGTCAGGAGAGTGCTTCTTCATGCTACACAAATATACARGCATTTGATCAAAGCAGGATTGCAGCACCAACAATTACCAAAGAATAACTTAAAGTCTAATCACAGCCAGARCTTAACGCTTGAGATTTTAAGCTTGTTGCAAAAAAAGGGACAACTTACATAAGAGTGGACTCCACAATCTTCAAGTTTGATCTTAAAGATGGCGACCTCATTATTAACGATAGCCGGTTTACAAAGAGGACTCCCAAGAACAACAAGCTTTCTGGGGTCCACGGGGATGTCTGCACAATCGTGGCGAATTGCAAAAACAAAGTGTTGATCTGCGGTGCACTCTACAGAAAGCGGGAGAATAAAAAACTCACTAAAAATGTTCAGTCTCCTTTCTGAAAATAACTTCGAGTGGACGAGTTCTCCACAAAACTCAAACCTTACCGTCAAGCGGGTAGTAGCAGTTTTCTGTAGACATATCCATACAGCATCCTTTCTTCCCACAGTCTGATGGGGATATTCCTGAGTGACCACAAGAAATCTGCTCCTCAACATCAACGGCACAATCTGAGAAAACAAAATCCCACAACTTAGTTTACGGATAAAACCTCAATAATTCATACCAGTTTCCACTCACTGTGAGGCTTCTGTGGGGACGTTATTTTGTTTCTGGAATTTAACTTCTCGGGCGCGGCTGTCGTCGTTGGTGGCACTGACGTTGTTGGAAACCAATTCCTTGGCACAACAATCGGTGGTTTATCAGTTGCCATTGGTGGCGCTGTGGTTTTGTGAACGCACTTCAAGGGTTTGGGAGTGACTGATTTAATGCACTTTGTGTGTTTGTGAAAAGTCGGGGRAAACTGGACAGGGTCAAATTTTGTCTTCTCAATGCAAAATACACAAAACTCTCTGGTCTGACCGGAGACGGCGAWGGACAGCTGGAGACTGTAAACCTGTTGTTTTACAACAAACTCGTGTATAGAACAACACATCAGTTAGCCAAAACAAATAATCAATGAMATATTTCGTATATTTTCTTTAGAAACCCACGTCTTCCACATCTTCTCTCACATTGCACCCAGTGAAGTGTACAGTCAGGATGTTCTTGTGGTGGATCCAGCGGTAACCACAGTACTCCGGAGCATCCTCCACAGAAATGTTCGTAAAGCCTGGAGAGTAAAAGGAAGGTGGGGTTAAAACATAGAAATTTGACAAAGTTCAAAAATTATCCAGAGATTTAGTTCATACCCAAAACTTGGATCCCACTTAGTCGACCTGTAGGAAGAGTGATTTGGAAGCTATCCTCCTCACAAGCCACATTTATTTCTTCAGAACTTGCGCAGCCAATCCATCTCTTCAGAGGGGCGTTTACAAACTCCACACGAAATTCATCAAACCAGTCGCTTCCGTCAGAACCTTTTCCACGCATCAGGCTGGCAACAGAATCCACCGTGTCAATGGTTGCAGAACCCTCAACTTCAAAAGTTTCATCTTCATAGTTGTCGTAGTCGTGGTAATCATCATCTGGTGAAGTGGGGCATTTGTTATTTAGTGTTATTACCAGAGGAAACAGTAGGTTTCAAAAATAAAAACACCTTCAGCTTCCTGAAATGTATCCTCAGGAGATGTTTCATTCATGGCAATGCTTTCAGATTCCATCAGAATTTTGCCTTCATAAAAGTCATCCTCGTCTGCAAGAGAGATACATTTGAAACTTTAGTCGGAACTCGCCCGAATACTCGACTAAAACTGTTTATTTCACTCATTTAAAATGACTGAGGTTGGTGCGTCAAATTAAGCCTCCTGAGTTTTGTTTCAAAAGCCAATCAAAGGTATCATTACGATGTTCTCAAGTACGGGGGTTCCCAAACAGCATTGGTGTCTGGTCAAGGACTCCCTTGCAAATCAACAAACAATGCTACAAAATTATATAAATATAATATCAATCTTTGGAATGTTTTTGTCCCTTTTATACATTATTCAATAATCATTACATTAGTTTGGCATGAAGATTATATCAACTAACATAACTTTTTGACAAACAAAATAAATCAAACCTCTATTAAATAACATTTTAATTAATATAAATGATATTTTAAGACACTGAGTGAAACCAATTTCATTTTATGAGAATGGTTAAAAAACACTTTTCTCCAACTTTCTGGTGCTCCAAGCGCCCCCTGGTGGCCCCCATGAGTCAAAGCTTCTCTAGGAACATGATCCACATCTTTCCACCTTTACATCATTTGTGTTTATTTTGTTCTGACAGCTGGCTGCTTTAAAATAAAACTGTAGCAATAAAACAGCTTGTTGACCATTATTGCAGCTTTTTTTTTTTAATTGCTCTTAAGTGCACTTCCCACATCGTTCCTGACTGCACCAACACTAAATCGGTCATTTAAAACACACCTGGACTCATTCACCTGTTGTAAAGCTGAGGGTTTCGCTCCACTGACCAGTCTCGTAAAACGCGAGCTCCCTGTCGTTGATCCGTTCCCATCCCCGAACCGACACCAGCATCAGAGTCCCAGTAAGAACCAGCAGCAGCTCGACCCGCTGCAAAGCCATATGGACCCAAACGAGAACCGTGCAGCTTTCTGATACCAAATAAGGATGGTACTTCCGGTTCTGCTGCTAATTGGTTGAACCTGCTAGCTGCTAATTGGGCTAAAATAAATTGATCATACTGAATCTATGATTCATAGGGCTATGATTTATAATTTATAACGCAGTAACAATAATGGTGTTTCAATAAGTTTAAGGGTATGATTTTTTTATAAATTCATATGTATGTTTAGTAGCCTCAATTTAGTGCCAAAATTAATTCGTTTTTTTATCTTTAATGTGTTAGAATGTCAAAGCTATGAGCAATATTTTTTTAATCAAAACCAGTAACATAAACATGAGCAACTTATGTTGATGCCTTTATTTTGAAATGTACATAAAGTTGTGTCAAGTTGCAGAAGTTGACTTTATAAAGACCCCCATTGTGATTTGTAGTACTTGGTAAGTTCCCCAATACCCTTACTTACATAAATATAGCTTCTCATACATTTAAGTCTTTGTGGCAACAATTGTAAATTCATATTCTRCACAAATGATGCTTAATTGTAAATTTGTCTCAAACTTTTTCAGTGTTTATTTCCACTATTGTGTTTTATGTTCTGATCCTTTTCATTCTAAAATAACCAAAACATAAATATTAAATAAATCACTTAATCAAATTCTTTACACTAGTTGAATAAAAACACAAGCCATAATATATTTATGRAGCAAATCAATTTTATGCATTATCTTTTGAGTTAGGCACCTCAGTATTCCACTGCAACACAAACAAATCTTTCTTAGACTATCATTTACAAAACAAMGTTTCTTCTTTGCTTGAGCTTGTTTTCTATAGATATACTGTATTTAAAAAAAGCAGACACATAAAAGCCTGGATTCTTCTCAAAAGTCACAAACGCAAAAAAAAAAAAAAGAAGTAATAAATAAAACAATCACTTGTAGGCGTTTGCTTTATGTTTAGGTAAAAAGTTGAAATTCTTCGGCACTGGACCAAGCAGCATTTCACTGAAAATAAGAATAAAAAATTATTATTATAAAAGGCATTAATTTAATTTGCTGAATTTCTTGTGAGGTTTTCAGCTCACCTGATCCTGATCCAGTCTCCAACATTCTGACTAGCCATCAGGGTCTCCAAGTAGTTCCTGCCCATGTAGTACGGAGGTCTCTCATTGATCTTCTGAGGAACTCGCTCCAACAAGCCCACAGGAATGTATCTAGAGGACAGAGGGAAAAAAAACCTTAAATCTGTTATTAAGAAAAATCACAATTTATGCCTTACTATATATTATATACTCTTCAGGGCATCACAATAGTCAAACTGAATGCTATTTAAAGAAAACAATGCAATATTCTTTCTCWGTTACAAACCTGCACATGAAAGAGAGCCACTCCAGCATGAAGTTGCGGGTTTTCTCCACACCTCGAGTGTCAGAGCCCCAGTGCTCCAGGCCGAAGTTGGTGAAATCTTTGAGGATATCCAGTCGCTCGCTGGACGAGATGTCCCAGTGTCTGCTCTCCTTTATCTCAGTGAAGATCCAAGGCTTGATGAGAGCTCCTCTGCAGAAAGCAAAACACATTAAACATAAAAACCTGATTTAATTTCTACCCTCTAGTTAAGTTTAATCACATCAACGTTTTTAAGCAAACAAAATGAAAATAATGGGACTAACTGAATTTAACCTCCACTGGCAAAAAAGAAATAGTTAAACAAAGGAATATATGTGCATTTGTTTAATTATATACAGCGGGTAAAATATGTATTGAACACGTCACCATTTTTCTCAGTAAATATATTACTAGAGG